GGCAACAGAAGGAGATCCTGTCTCAAGAAAGAATAAAAAAAGAACAACTGATATAAACAACACGGATGAACCTCAAAAATATGATTCTAAACAAAAGAAGCCTTAAGTGAAAAAGAAAAAATAGCAAATGTAATATTTCATTTACATGCAATTTTAAAAGAAGTAAAATTAATCTACATTGACAAAAAGCAGATCCGTAGTTATGTGGAGCCAACAGTAGGACTGACAGCAAAGGGGCACAAGTAAACTTTTCAAGATGTTGAAAATGTTCTATATCTTGATTGTAGTACTGGTTACATGATGGTATATATTTGTCAAAACTAATTGAACTGTACACTTAAAATGGATGCAACATACTCTTTGTAAATGATACTTCAATAACGTTAACCTCAAAAAAGAATAATTTTAAAATATAGGTGATACAACACATCAAGGCAATTCTATGGGAAAAATATACATATATAATATATATCACAGGGTAGATACAATACCCTTAAGCAGCATGGCTCAACAGAACTTTCTACAATGACGTAAATGCCCTACATTGGCACTATTCAATAGGATAGCTACTACTAGCCACATAGCCATTGCAATGTAGTTAAAGTAACTGATGAACTTGATTTTTAATCTTATTTAATTTTGATTATTTAAAATTTAAAAAGCCAACATGAGTACAGGCTTCCACAATGGACAACATGGACCTTAAAAATAGTGCGGGGAAAAAAAGATTTGTTTTTTTTTTTTTTTTTTGAGAGCCTGTCACCCAGGCTGGAGTGCAGTGGTGTGACCATAGCTCACTGCAGCCTCGAACTCATAGCTTCAGGATATCCTCCTGCCTTCATCTTCCAAGTAGCTGGAACTATGAGGACTACAGGCATGTGCCACCACATCCAGCTTATTTTTAAATTTTTTGTAGAGACGGGGTCTCATTATGTTGCCCGGATTGGTCTCGAACTCCTGGTCTCAAGTGGTCCTCCCACCTTCGCCTCCCAAAGTGCTAGGATTATAATCATGAGCCAATCACACCTAGCCCCCCAAACCCCGGCCTTTTTTTTTTTTTTTTTTTTCTAGCAAACTGTCTTACTCTTTTTTTCCACTGGTAACAGCTAACTATACAAATAAGGACTCACAAATGGGTTGATCACAGAGAACTACCTAGTTTGGGGAGAATATTTATGATACGGGTGGATAAAGAGACAGAGAAGAAATAAAAAACATGTTTAAAATGGCGTTTGCACAGAAGGATGAAAGAATGTAACTGGGCACAGTGGCTCATGCCTATAATCCCAGCACTTTGGGAAGCCAAGGCAGGTGGATCACCTGAGGTCAGGAGTTCGAGACCAACCTGACCAACATGGTGAAACCCCATCTCTACTAAAAATACAAAAAAAGAACCAGGCATGGTGGTGGGCACCTGTAGTCCCAGCTACTAGGGAGGCTGAGGCAGGAGAATGGCGTAAGTAAACCCGGGAGGTGGAGCTTGCAGTGAGCCTAGATCGAGCCACTGCACTCTAACCTGGGCAACAGAGTGAGACTCATCTAAAAAAAAAAAAAAAAATGTAGCCAGTAAACTATAGGAGCAACAAACCATGAGATTTAAAAATCTTTTTTGACCTTTTTGGACAACTTCATAGATATCACGATCACCCACAGTAATGACAGTAATTATTTCCTTAAGGCAGAAAATCATGTCCAATTCCCATTAAGGTCCATATCCTAGCCTATGTCAATTCCTATCTTCCAAAAAACAGTAAACATGTTAAACTATGATACACGGTATGGTATCTCAGACAGACCACTGATCTAAGAGTCAGGGACCTAAGGCTGTGGTTTAAACCCTGCAACTAATTATACTGATCAGCAACCTAATATGGCATTCTCTCGTCCCCAGTTGCCTTGTTGATTAAATGAGAGGTCCCCATTGACACTTAAATGCTAGGACCTAACAACAGTAGTATAAAAAGGGTTATGCTAGGTTTAGGATAGTATTCTGAAGATAACAGCTTATCCTACAAATGTTATTAACTGAACTGTCTACCCAATTATGAGCACTTTAAAAGAATAAACCAAGAAATCAAATCACTATGTAAAAAATCAGGGAAAGCTCATCGATAAATATTCCAGTTTTCTCCACAGTAGTTTATTCATGGCCACCAATGGACTCATACGTTAAAGAACCCTATACTGGCAAAGCACAATACTGCATTATCACTTTCAGATAATCTTTAAATTTTAATGAGAAAAAATACACACAAATACACATCCCAAAGATAAGGAGTTATATGAAAAGCATCAACTTAGTTGCAGCTTGAGTTTGACTAAATATCTTTGTGATTTAGACCATATGAGCCATTATTAAGTTAGAAAGCATAATGGGAACTGTTCTATCCTGAAGTCCATCAAGGACACTGTAAGAAAAAAATGAAACAATGTTTAACATATGAAAAGGAAAGTATTTTTACCAATCTCTGTAAGAGAAAAACATACCCAAATTTATTACTTTGAGAGTACCTTCACCTTTATGATGAAGATAAGCCTTAATAAAACTGTAATTCCATTTTTCCCAGTCTGTTTTTTCCTATGACAGTATCTATGACAGAGGACATTCACTTGTTATCTAACTCCTCCTTTTCCTCTCCTACTCAAGAAAACATATTAAAATGCAGATGAGTGAGTTGACATTAATACAGGAATAATTTAAATTTGCACTAATTTATAAAAAAAGCTGACATTGGTAATAATAACTTGACATATATATCTCAAGAAGTTGAGACGTTAAGTTCAGAACAATTATTTTAATGAATCAAGAAACAGGAATACGACTTTCAATTAACTATCTAGTTCCTTGTCTTGTAATCCAAACACAAAGCCTTCCTTAGATTTTAATAGACTAAAGATTAAATGTTCACCTTAAGATTCTGGCACATATATAAACACATGGGTATGTGTGTATGTATACTTGTGTGTATGTGTACATATACATATATACATACATATGGGCTTTCCTCTTGCTTTAATTTCTAACAATTATTTAAGAATTAGCTTGTTTTAACAATCGCCTCACCTGGAAGCACAGTTTTTTCTGGAATTATTTGTTATTAAAATATTCTGGATACTTTGGTTAATTTTCATTAGCTATTTAGAAATATCACAATAAGTTCCATTAAACCACTACTAGTCAAAATACAGAATCAAGCTAAATAGTCAAGCAGAACATGGATTATACAGATTTAAGATGGCTATTTAAAACCTTGAAAATATATAGTTCATGTTAAACTTTTTTTTTGTTAGTTTTTTGTTTTTGGAGACATGATCTCACTCTGTCACCCAGACTGGAATGCAGTGGCCAGATCACAGCTCACTGCAGCCTCGACCTCCCCGACGCAGGTGATCCTCTTGCCTCAGCTTTCCAAGTAGTTGGGACTACAGGGGTGTGCCACCATGCCCGGCTAATTTTTTTATTTTTAGTAGAGACGAGGTTTTGCCTTGTTGCCCAGACTGGTCTTGAACGCCCAGGTTCAAGTGATCCACCTGCTCTGGCCTCCCAAAGTGTTGGTATTAAAGGTGTGAGCCACAGTACACCTAACCCTGTGTCACACTTTTTATTCTGTTCCAACAAACTATATGTATTGAATAAGGCAAATTCTCATTACCCTAGAACAGTAGGTTATCTTGATGATTAGGTGCCCTAGACCTAATTACTTAATTACACAAATAAAAGGTAACCAAACTGCTCTCTTCAAGATAAGGCAGGATAGCCTTACACCCATATTTTCCTTTCAAATAATTAGTTTTCAAGCTAATTTAACTGGCTTGTTTAATGAATTATCCTCTTACCAATTTGCCTTTCAGATCAACAGTGCAGTTTCCATTAGAATTTACAGTATTCTTTTGTTTCAAACTCTGGCACCTTTTACTTTTCCTCAGTTTTAGATAATCATCCAATAACATTCTTGCACTACTGTTCTGCCATGGTCCTGCAGCTGGAAAGCAACAATCAACACCTCCTTTACAACTCCATCTTCATTTTATCTAGTCCAATGAAAAAGAGCCGCAACACTGAACCAAACTGACAATATATTCTCATGTTGCTGCTCATAAAAAGAGCTGTCACTTACATGTACAATATTTTCCTTTGAAGATGGTCATTAACAATTATTTCTATTTGAGAATATCTTTCTAAGTAAGTTATAGAACAGAATTATTACTTAAAATTGCCAACAATATTTGATTGCTTAAATATTAATACATATTAATTATAGTGGTCATAAGATGGATTATACAGCCACTAAAAATAAGATTTTTCAAGTGACAATGAAAATGTACAAATAGAAGTCAGAAAAACAGGAGTCAGTACAATTCTAAATTTGTTAAAAATAAAAAATAAGGCCAGGCACAACAGTTCATGCCTGTAATCCCAGCATTTTGTCAGGCTGAGGTGGACAGGTCACTTGAGCTCAGGAGTTCAAGACCAGCCTGGGCAACATAGCAAGATCTCATCTCTACAAAGAATATAAAAATTGGCCCAGCATGGTGACACATCCTTGTAGTCTCAGATACTCGGAAGGCCGAGGTGGAAAATCACTTTTGAGCTCAGGAGGTCAAGGCTGCAGTGAGCCATGATCTCACCACTGCATTCCACCCTGGGCAACAGAGTGAGATCCTGTCTCAATCAATAAACTAAATTAAATAAAAAATAAAAAATAGTCAAATTATACATAGTCACACACACACACACACACACACACACACACACAGTATTAGAAGAAAAATCTCTACAACATTTAACAGTGATTAACCCTGGCTGGCTTCTTCACTTTTCATGCTTTTCTCTATAGATTCTAATCCTTCCACAGCAGACCTGCTTTTATAAACAAGAAAATAATAAATATTATTTATTTATGGTAAATGATATTTTTCAAAAAAGAATGAGAGCCTACAAAAAGAAAGTACAATTTATCCTTGCACAATATGTGATTGAATTGCATAGGTTCACTTACATATGGATTTTCTGCTGCCTCTGCCACCCGTGAGAAAGCAAGACCATCCCCTGCTTTTCCTCCTCCTCCTCAGCCTGCTCAATGTGAAGATGATGAGAATGAAGACTTTTATGATGATCCACTCCACTTGATGAATAGCAAATATATTTTCTCTTCCTTATGATTTGCTTAATAACATTTTCTTTTCTCTAGCTTACTATTCTACGAATATAGTATATAAAACCTATAATATACCAATATATGTTAATTGACTATGTTATCAGTAAGGCTTCTAGTCAACAGTAAGCTATTAGTAGTTAAGTTTCGAGCGAGTCAAAAGTTATACGTGGATTTCTGACTGCACAAGGGAGTCAGCCCCACACCCCCTGAACTATTTCAGTATCAATTGTATACCTAAACACCCCAAAGAGTAACCAGGTTTCACTTATGGGTAAAAGTTAATACCCTCAAGACTTACTCTACCTAAACAGGTTTAGGAAGAGTAAACCTCTTTATCACTGTACTGGACTGGGTTAGCAGTCTAGTAAACAATACTATCAGGGTAATAAAATCTCTCACTGCCCTTGTATGGCTTCCATTAAGAAAATTTCTATTTAAGGAGGCTACCATCTAAGAGCAAGAATCAACAGAATTTTAACTGTTTTCCATTATATATGTAAAAATTAAAGACTACGTTTTGTTTTCCCAATGTAGAAACATCAGGAATGGGGTCAGATACAGTGGCTCACACCCACAATCCCAGTACTTCAGGAGGCCAAGGCAGGAGGATTGCTGACAGCAGGAGTTTGAGACCAAGCTGGGCAATATAGCAAGACCCCATCTCTGTGAAAAATTTAAACATTAGTGGGGCATAGCGGTGCATGCCTATGGTCCTAGCTATTTAGGAGGCTGAGGCAGGAGATCACTTGAGCCCAGGGGTTCAAGGTCTAATAAGCTATTATGCCACTGTACTCTAGACCAGTCGACAGAATGAGACCCTACCCCTAAAAAAAAGAAGGAACAGAAATGACTCTACTTTACAAATATGACTATGTAAATGTGAAGAGAGAGACAAAGAATTAAAGTATAACATGAAAATTTAAATTATTATTTAACAAGTACAATTCTTAATAATAAATAAAGCTTATGTTAAAACACTTATGAGACTATAAATTATTTGAAGGTGTCATTAATCTTTATTTCCTCTAGAACTATATCTGGAAGAAACATAGATAGTAGATAATAAATGCCATTTGAGTATCTGTGTAATTCCCTATAGCATACAAAATAGTTTCATATTTATCTCATACATTTCACATAAAATATCTTATATACACATATGTATACAGGGAGAGAAAAAGAGAGAGAGAGCATGCAAGAGAGCGAGTAAGGGAGAGAGCGAAATCTGAAAGAAGCCATGTTTTAAAATATCTTTTGGGCTGGGCATGGTGGTTCATGCCTATAATCCAAGCACTTTGGGAGGCTGAGGTGGGAGGATCGCTTGAGGCCAGGGGTTCGAGACCAGCCTGGACAATATAGCAAGATCCAGTCTCTACAAAAAATAAAAGAAGTAGCTGGCTTTGGTGGCACACACCTGTAGTTCTAGCTACTTGAGAGGCTAAGGAGAGAAGATGGCCTGAGTCCAGGAGTTTGAGGCTGCATTGAGCCACAACTGAATCACTGCACTCCAGCTTGGGTGACACAGCAAGACCCTGTCTCTAAAAAAACAAACAAACAAACAAACAAAAAAACCTAAATATATCTTGAATGTAATTCATAATTTGAGGTACTAATATTTTGGGGTAAAAACAAAGATAATAAGACTTTTTTTAGATTAACATATATTAAAAATACAACATGCAAGGAATCAGTACAAGGGACAAGTTAGTAAGTTTATCAGAAAAGAAAAGAATAATCACTTTCTGCAATTACTTTTGACTGGGTCAAAAAACACCTCTGCCGCATTTATCTAGGCTTTATATGATATAAAATTTAAGAATCATAACCAACAAGCCACCAGTCTATTTATATATGTCACTTATTCATTGAACAATCAGTTGCTGAGCAGAAACAAGTAGCATAAAAAGACAACTATGATCAATAATAAGGAAGTGAGCCCAATTAAAAAACAGGCAAAAATTAATAGACACCTCACCAAAGAGATATACAGATGGCAAATGAGTATATTAAAAAATACTCAACATCATATGTCACTAGGAAATATTAAATTTAAACAATAAGATGACACAATACACCCACTAAAATGGTTAAAATCCAAAAACCTGATCATACCAAATGCTGGTGAGAATGTGGAGGACAGAAGTTTCATTTATTGCTTGTGGAAACGTGAAATGGTACATATTAGTAATCTGACAGTTTCTTACAGGGCTCATCATAGTCTTATATGATCCAGGGATCATGCTCCTAGGCTCTTATCCAAATGAGTTGAACATATATCCAGACAAAAACCTGAACATAAATGGTTATAGCTGCTTTATTCATAACTGCCAAAAACTGGACGTATTCAAGATATCCTTCAAAAGGTGAATGAACAAAATGGTACATTCATACAATGGAATATTACTCAGCAATAAAAAGAAATAAATGATTAAGTCATCAAAAATACATGGATGAACCTTAAATGCACACTGATTAGTTAAAAAATCAGTTTGAAAAGGTTATGTACTGGTATGATTCGAATTAAGAGACATTCTGGAAAAGGTAAAACCACAGAAACAGGAAAAAGATCACTGGTTGCCCACAGTTCAGGGGAAGATGGGTAAGGAATGAATGGGTAGAGCACAGGGGATTTCTAGGGCAGTGAAATTATTCTGTATGATACTCTAATGGTGGATACATGACATGCATTTGTTAATTTCACGGACCTGTACAACAGTAAGAATGAACCCTAACAAACCTATGAACTTCAGTTAATAATAATGTATCAATATTGGTTCATCAATTATAATAAACGTACTATATTAATGCAAGATGTTAATAACAGAGGAAACTGTAAGCTGGAGACAGAGGGTATATGAGAATATAATGTACCATCTGCTCAACTTTCATTAAAATAGTCCTTTAAAAATTTTTTAAGTATGGTTTTTTGGGGGGGAGATAATTTTTGTTAGTGTCATTATTATATTTTAGAGACAGGATCTCACTCTCTTCCCCAAGCTGGAGTGCAATGGAACAATCATAGCACTCACTGCAGCCTCCAACTCAGGCTCAAACAATCCTCCCACCTCAGCCTTCCAAGTAGCTAGGACTACAGGCGCATGCCACCATGCTCATCTAATTCTTTTATTTTTTGTAGAGATGAGGTCTCACTATGTTGCCCCAGGCTGATCTTGAATTCCTTGACCCTCCTGCCTCTCAATTTCCCAGAGTGCTGGGATTACAGGCATGAGCTACTATCATTATTAAAGCATAAGATGCTGAAAAGAGGCCACAGAGTAAATAGTTAAGGGAAAGGTTTAGAAAGCCTTTTGTATGCTGTGCTAAAAACTTTACCTATACTGTATCTTCTGGGCTATGGGAAGTCATTAAACGTTTTGAGTGATGTAAGATCTGTTTGGGAAAAAATGACTCTTGGTAATGACACTAGGATTTAGAGTGTGAGGGTAGTTGTTGTTGTTGTTTATGGACAGGGTCTCACAATATTGTTCAGGCTAGAGTGCAGTGGCTATTCACAAGTGCGATCATAGGGTACTACAGCCTTAAACTCCTGGACTCAAGTGATCCTCCTGCCTCAGCCTCTGGAGTAGCAAGAGTGAGATGTAAAGTAAAAACTCCGGGAAACCAATTAGAAGGTTACTGCCATGATAACAGCAATGGTGAATTTTTACTGTGTACTTTTTATGTACCAGGCACTTTATTTCATTTTATCTCATTTGAACCTTAATAGGTCCTATTATTGCTCCTGCATAATAAATGAGATATTAGGGCACAGAGTGATTAACCATCTCAATGTTATGTGAGCAAAGATAGGAAGATAAGAAGCATGACCCTGTGACGAACTGCCAATAGTTCAGAATTACAGTGGTTTGCCCATCAAAGTTTCAGTGACAAGTGATGAAACTGAAGGCTACATACAGCCACACAGGGAAAGACCTTCTATATTATAGTAACAGGGATTCCTTTTTTATATATAAGCTACAAATACCATGAGTTTCTCCCATTTATATTTTTCCCTCCTATGAAATACTGTTTATTCACTCATTTAAAATCATTTTATGTACCAGGTAAGTGTTAGGTTCTGGTTACACAACAATAGCCTAAGCAGTTCTAATCCATATCATCACAGACCTAAGAGACAGAATCCATGTGCTCTCTTAAAGTTTAACAGACTAAACCACCTGAGTCTAGTCAATAAGTACACTCCAGCACACCACTTATGATTTGAGAATACTCATTCACTTACTTATTGCTTCCACAATATTTAATAAGACTCTACTACGTACCAAGCACTATTTTCAGTGATAGAAATACAACAAAGCACAAAACAAAGCTCACTAACTTCATGGTATTAACCTTTTGGTTGGAGGGCAGAGAAGACAAAAAACATAAATGATATAAATTCTGATAGTGATAAATACTGTTAAAAAATTAAACAGGTAAGAGAACAGAGTGTTAGCATGATAGGTACGCAAGTTTAGAGAAAAATGTTTCAGGCTTCGGGGAAACCAAATATATATATATATATATATATGTGCACAACTGTAGTTTGAAAATGCATATGTTCCCATTGATCAAAAACTCTTTTAGGTGGAGTAGGGATTCTATGTCATATGTCCTTTCATTCATTCAGCAAGCATTTGCTTGCCTAATCTACTTTATACATGTCACAATAAGAATGCAATCATTAGAAGGAAAATGGAAGGTTTTAATCAGTCTTAAAACCTAAATATAAACGAAGAAAAACATTACAGGAAGAATGCTGTATTTCTCCATCTCTCCACTCCCCTCCCTCTCCCTCTTACATACACACGACAATCAGAAGAGCATCTGACCATTCATTCATGATATCCAGATTTGTGCTTGTTGGTCTTTAACTGGTTTCTCAAGATGTCCCCACATTGAAACACTCTGTGTGGCATCTATCTTGATCTTCAACTCAGAAAATATACTCATTATTCCTTGTCATTAGGACTCTGCACAGTTGCATACAGAAGAGCGTCTCGGCAGGGAACAGTGTAGTTTCACAAAGGGGCCGATAAAATACATAATTTTGGCTTTGGTAATTGCCCTTGAAGATTAAAATAAGAGGAGGAAAATAAGAGCCAAAGAAACAAAAGATTTGCCCGTGATGTGATAGCTAGTTTCGTCACATATTATGTTGCTCATCCCACAGACTGGGAATCCCAGAAAGCGCCCCGTTTAAATTTAGATCATATTTTTAGCAGGGTCCCTTTAACAGAGATTCCGGGAACCTGGGAAGGAACTGAACTGGGCTGACCAAACCGGTCGAAATGAGCACAGGGATTAGATTAGAGCACAGAAATTCTGGCTAGCAATCTGAGAAAGCGGCCAAAGCCAGCCCAGAGAAAAGGGAGGTTTCCTGGGCCAAAGGCTTTCTGACAGGAGACACAATAGGATGATAACTCTGGGTCTTACCTTCACTGAGGTTTCTACCCGACAGGTTTAACTGGCCGCTCTTCCTCGCTGCCTTCAACAGCCCTTGGGGTACCGAGGTACCGCAGTCTCTTCCAGCGGCTTTGAAACCAGCGCGGGGATCCTGCCCCGCTACCCGCTTCAGGCGCGACATGTTCAAAGTCCTAAGTCCAGAAGCTGCAGCCCCGCCCGTGACGCTTAAAGGTGGCGCCGCTGGCATGCCACACCCCTTTCGTGAGCGCGCGCTCTGTGAGCCTGGCTCGCGGACTCGCGCTGGGCCTTCACTCTCTGCGGCGCAGTCCAGATGTCGTCAGCGCCAGCGCCTGGCCCGGAGGATAGAGAAGCCCTTTCCGTTGCCGGTGCCGGCCTAGCGTCCTGGAATTACTTCGCTCAAGTAAGTGCGTTTGACGGGCTTAAGAGGGGTTTTGGGGTTTATTGTTTAAACTGTTACTGCGACTCCACCCTTCTCCTCCGTGCTTCCACCGTGGCGAGGGTGTCGGGAAAGATAACCCTCTCTTCTCCCCTCTCCTAGTCTGAACGTGGGCCTGAACTAAAACTTGAGATCTGGGCGCGGTCGGCAGCCTTTCTGGACCCCAGCCTGTGTTTGTCGCTTGTGGTGGTGGCGCCAGACCTCCGGCGTACGGAGAAAAACAAATTTTCTGTTCTTAGGGCCTGTACTCTGACACCATTCTTGTTGTATTGAGGGTACATAGCCCACCCAGCAAAGGAGGTAATGTGAAGTGGAAGAACTGGCAACATAGAAGACAAAAACAAAAATCCTTAAAATGTAATAAATGTTCTCTGTATCAGACAGTTTAGGGAAACAGGTAGTGATACAAGCTTTAGTGAAGCTCAGACAACTTGGATTTTTGAGCCCCAAAAAACAAGTTCAAATCTCAGCTGCTTCACTTTAGAAACTGTGTTAACTTTAGGCAGTTTACTCAACCGCTTTTAAAGCTCATTCCTCTTTTTCATTACTTTGGGGATAATTCCTACCGCATAAGGTTTTTGAAATAAGTGAAGATAAAAATTTGAATCTTGAGCTCATGGTAAGTCCGGAATAATAGCAAATGAAAATTTTGTTCAATAAGTCGGTGTTTCCTAGGAAATTAAAGTTTTCATCTGAAATGTACAACTTATTGATTCATTCAACAAGTAATTATTAAGATTCATCCTGCCTAGTATGTACTATCCTGGGTGCTAGACTTTTCTTTTGCCTGAAATGATTTTGTTTTAAAAGCATATGCCAGGGAATACCATTCTAACCCCCAACAAGTCTACTGAGGATTGGTAGAATAGTTGAAAGGTAGGATGAAGTCCCTTTGACAAATTCTTCATCACGCACTTTTACCTGAGTCCAGGTTATTGCTACCTGTAAAATTCGGTTTTTAACTCTACCCTTTTTGTTCTTAGTTCTGTAGAGTCCTTTACAGTAATATCGAACAAGAGAAAGTTACCAATAGTTGTTACCCTGCAAAAAAAGCAAAGAGTGGATTTTTGTCTTGAATTTTTTTTTCTTTTTTTTTGGGAGACAGTCTCGTTCTGTCGCCTAAGCTGAATTGCAGTGGCATGATCCCGGCTCACCGCAACGTCCGCCTCCCGGGTTCAAGTGATTCTCCTGCCGCATTCTCTCCAGCAGCAGGGATTATAACCGCGCACCACCACGCATGGCTAATTTTTGTATTTTTTAGTAGAGGCGGAGTTTTGCCATGTTGGTCAGGCTGGTCTCGAACTCCCGGCCTCAAGCGATCCGCCGACTTCGGCCTCCCAAAGTGCTGGGATTACAGGTGTCAGCCACCGTACCCAGACTGAGTTTTAAAGGAAAACGACCATAGCAGCTTTTGCAAGGTTATTAATGAGGTCCCTGGTCAACTTGCCTTCACAGTAATGGTAATAGCTGCCTTATTGGGCCCATACCAAGCTCAGTGCTAATAATACCTCTCTTTGCTATTTCTTATTTAACACAGTGACTAATTTTGCAGATGAGGAAATTGAGGCTAAAAGGGGTAAATAAACTTACCCAACCTCACAAGTTTCTCTGAATAGCACAACCAGGAATTTTAACCTAGATCTGTTTCCAAAACCTTTCTTTTTAATCACCATGACTTGCCTAGTGGCTTTTCATAATTCCCAACTTGCTTTTTTTTTTAATCCTGCAATCATTGTAAGAGACACTTCAGTTGTTTTTAAGAAGATTTATTTATTAAAGAACCACCTTTTTCTCTTTTGTAGGAAGTAACAACCTACCTTTGGGGAAGTAACAACCCACCTTTGGAGAATTGAATTGCTCGAGTACAAAATTTTACAGTCACCACGCCTCCCCCTACAATAGATTCTTCTTTGGTTCTTTTTTTTTTTTTTTAAGAGACCAGGTCTCACTCTGTCACCCATAATGAAGTACCATGGTGTGATCACAGCTCACTGCAACCTCGAAATCCTGGGCTCAAGCGGTCCTCCCACGTCAGCTTCCTGAGTAGCCATCACACCACCATGCCCAGCTAATTGTTTTTATTTTTTGTAGAAATGAGTGTGTGTTGCCAAGGTTGGTCTTGAACTCCTGGCTTCAAGCTATCCTTCCACCTAGGGCCTTCCAGAGCACTGGGATTACAGGCATGAGCTGCCTCAAGCAATCCTTCCATCTAGGGCCTTCCAAAGCACTGGGATTATAGGCATGAGCCACCACACCCTGCCTAGTTCAATTTATTAAAAAATAACAGCAAGGTATAATTTTTTAATTTGTTGTTCTTGAAGTTAAATATTTCATTATTGACATTTAATGATACTGTATTAAAACATTGTTTCATCTTGTATAAGGAAAGTATATTCTGTTAAATGGCAAAGAGTAATTCTGAAAAAAAAATCCCGGTGGCCATATGCTTGTGGTAAACTCCAATAGATATAAACTGACATATGTAAGAATGTACTAGTTACTGTAATACAATGTGTAGTGTGTGCATGTGTGCGTGTGGGTGTGTGGGTGTGTGTGTGTGTGTGTGTGAGAGAGAGAGAGAGAGAGATGGAGTCTCGCTCTGTCACCCAGACTGGAGTGCAATGGCTCAGTCTTGGTCACTGCAACCTCCACCTCCCAGCTTCAAGTGATTTCTCCTGTCTTACCCTCCCAAGAAGCTGGTATTACAAGTATGCGCCACCACACCTGGCTAATATTTTTGTATTTTTTTAGTAGAGGCAGGGTTTCACCATGTTGGCCAGACTGGTCTTAAACTCCTGGCCTCATGTGATCCACCTGCCTCGGCCTCCCAAATTGCTGGGATTACAGGTGTGAGCCACCTCACCCAGCCTGCTGTATTGTATTTATGTAGTAAGTGCAGATTGAGCAAGTTACAGTGAAAATTATTACCTCATGCAATAGAGAAAATAACATGTTTTGTCTCAAATTGATGGAAACTGAAAGCTAATCAACTTCAATTGAGCTTCTTTATGAAAAAGTAGTTATAAATACTTATGTGAGAATTAGCTCCATTTCAATTGTTTTAAGGAGAATACATTGAAAGCAAAAATTCTAACTCTTCCAACACTGGCATTTAAGTCAAAGTGTTTTTTAGAAAAATTGACTTTATATACATTACTAAAATAATATGAAATGAATGTCTCCTGTGTCAAGACTGCAGACTACTGCATAGCTACCTTTTGTAATGGAATTGTCTAGCTAGTATTTATTATATTCATTTTATTTATGTGATGAAAGCCTTCCCTCTTCAAGCTTCTTTGCTAAATGCAAAAAGAAAGTGAAGAAACCAAATTTATGTTAAGCCTAAAAATCACATTGGCCAAAGGGTACTGTTTTGTTTCATAACAGAAAGTAAGACTGTTATCAAAGTATAGCGCAGCTTGTCTCTACCATTAAAATTTATAAAGACATAGATAAAAGGTACAATTGATGGGATGGATTATTGAAGTCTGAAATTATAGTAAGAGTAAATTGAGTTAATTTGTGCAGATTTGCAAGCACATTTGTTTACAAAATGGAGTCAAGAGCAAAGTGTATTTGTTTTGCAGACATTCCAGGAAGTTTCTTTTTGTGTAAAGTAACAAATTTAGCCTATTTCGAATTGTATTATGTTATCTTTCAGAATATTGCCTTATCTATGGGGGCTGCTATCTTATGGTAAAAGTTATTTATTGAGAGAACATTTTAGCTTTCTTTAAAAATTTAGACTTGCAATTTCACATTTGTTTTCCCTTCAGGCCTATCATTGCCAACTTTAAAAGTAGCTAGGAGAGGACATTCTTTTTTTGTTTTTCCTTTTGTTCTGAGACAGAGTCTCACTCCGTTGCCCAGGCTTACTGCAGCTTTGACCTCCCTGACTCAAGGGATCCTCACACCTCAGCCTCACAACTAGCTGGGACTACAGGCACCTCACTTTTTTTTTTTTTTTTTTTGGTAGAGATGAAGTTTTGCCATATTGCCCAGGCTGTTCTCAAACTCCTGGGTTCAAGCAGCCCACCTGCCTTGGCCTCCCAAAGTGTTGGAATTACAGGCATGAGCCACGATGCCTGGCCAAGAAGACATTCTTTTCTTTTCAGTGAAGGCAGTACATATTTTGCATTTTATTGATAGTTTCAGATGTGGCTTTGAAATTTGTATTATGTTGTTATTGGAGTCGTATATGGTCATTTTTTCTAATGGAGAAAGTGCATTGTCTTTGGAATAATGCATTTGTATATTCTTTGTTTTCTCTGCTTCTCTTATATACTTTTGAATCGTGAAACAGCTTGCTCTAGGAGATTTAATATTTGATTCTACTATTTTCTGTCTCCCCCGCCCTTTTTTTTATTTCCCAAGACAGAGTTTCACTTTGTCACCCAGGCTGGAGTGCAGAGCTTACTGCAGCCTCAAACTCATGGGTTCAGGTGATCCTCCTGCCTCAACCTCCACCCCATGTCCCCCAGTAGCTGCAGCTGTAGGCTCATGCCACCACATCCAGCTAATTTTTTAATGTTTTATAGAGACAGGATCTCCCCATATTGCCCAGACTGGTCTCAACTCCCAGGCTCAAGCAATCCTCCCACCTCAACCTTCCAAAGTGCTGGGATTGGCCAGGTATGGTGGCTCATGCCTGTAATTCCAGCACTTT